TTATAAAATAAACTAAATTTTTAATGTATAATTTACCTTATAAAATATTTTTTTATATTTAAAAATTATTTCATAATTCAGGTTAAAAAACATATAAATCTAACCTTATTCCTATGTCAAAAAATAAAGAAAAAGAAAAGAAATAAAATGAGCAGTAAAGCAAATGACCAATTCCAAAGATCAACAAGACCTATACGGTATGAAATATTATTTGTCTTTCTAATTAATTAATGAGTTTTTCTGCTAGTCAAAAAAAAAAAATATTAAATGTTAATTTTGATTTCTCAATTTTAAAATTTTATATAATTTTTATCTTTTATTTGTATTTTTTTGATTTTTTAACTATAAAAATTACATTATGTTTATGTCAGTTAATTCATTAAGTCGATTTAAATTTATATATTTTTAATCTTTTAATTTTAAATTAATAAATAAAAAATATGTATATATTAAAAGTTAAAAAATTAAAAATATGTAAATTTAAATAATTTAATGGATTAATTAATAAAAAATTTTAAAAAAATGTTTTAAATAATTAAAAAACTAAAAAAATATATTAAAAAATTAAAAAATAAAAATCATACAAACCCTAAAGTTAAGTGAACAAAATTAGCACTTAAACGAAGAAAAAATCCAAAGTTCAACAAAATAATTGTCCTTTTACAAACAAAAAAATAATAATAATAATTGTCTTTCCTCAATAATAAATAAATAAATATAATCAAATGCTCAAAAAACAGACACAACTGACGAGGTTGCAATAGTCACGACGCGGCACTCAATCATTGGTTTGTATTTGTTCGCCAATCAACGTTTCAGCGCAGTCCACACTGCCTGTTTCTTCTCTCTGTTGTTCTTCTTCCCTGCGATTTGTTCTCTCTTCATATGATCCCAGGTTCCCCTGTTTCTTCAAACATTAAAGTTCACAAATTTATACATATTTGAATCGTCTTGTGCAAAAACATAGGATATTAGGACGGATACAATAACATAGGAAGGAAGAAAGCGGGAAAAAGTTAGAGAAAATGCCATCCCATATCTTGCCCGTGACGAATCCGGGGCAGTCCTCAGCCATGGGGCCACCATCTTCTTCATCTGTAGCCTCAACAATGCCGCTCAAAGATGAGATTCAGGATGACCCATCAACGAGTATCATCATTTCTTCCCAATTTGAAGATGAAACCGTCCTGACCATACGCCCTCTTCTCACTAGAGCTTCTAGTTACAACAACACAATCTCTAGCGACACGAATATTGACCATAGCAATCAGCAGAGGGGGCGTCGGATCGCCAGCGATAGCTCACTTCCTTTTCTGGTTGATGACAGTCCCCAGGGTTCTTTTAGCCAGGATGTGGAGCATGCGGCTGCCGAGACTTTCTTGGTGACTGGGTTGAGCTTGAAGCTATTAAAATATCTTGGGTACCCATTTTATCCCTGATTGCTTTTAAATACTATTTTCTTCTGTTTATTTGTTGGATGATTTTGAAAATTTCCAATTTGTGTGATCAATGGTTGATGGGTTGTTATTATTTTGTTGTTTTATTTCCCAACTTGATTCTTCTTATATTGGGTTACAAAGTTGTTCCCTTTGCTACTTATGTTGGAAAAGTTTTGAGAGACCTGAACAAGGGATGGGAATAGGATGCAGTGAAAGTCTGAAACAAAAGGATCTTTGTTTGTTATGTTTGGTCTTTTTTCTTTTCAAAATTTTAGATTGTTCCTTTTGAGTTTCCTCAAGGATTGGATCTGGGTACTTAACTACTGGTTTTGGCAATTGAATGTGGTAAATATGAAAATGATGTCTTCAACCTGGGCAATATAATGGCCTATAAAATAAACCCATGTCAATTTGAAGGGAAACTGTATTTTTGTTTTCATAGTGGGTTCTATGTGGTTTGGTGCTGCAGATCTTTGTAATGTCTTTGATGTGTCAACTGACTGAGAGTCCGACTTGAATTAGTTGGCTGCCTAACAATAGGGATGTGTTGGAATGTAGAATATAGGAAATGTAAAAAAGGAAGTATAATGATTCACTAAGTAGATATAATAGAACATATTTAACAACTAACTCAAGTAATTTTTGATAATAGAAGAGAGGAGATGTCTAAATTTATCTTTCTTTGATCAAAAGAAGAGAGAAGAGAGGTAATCTGTATAGGGGTCTTGTAAGTCATAACCTCAAGATCTTTATCGTTTTCTCTGGAACCTGAAACATCTCAGTTATGTATTTATGCCATTTTCCTTTTTATTTTTGTATCCTCTTGAAGTCTGCGCAACTATGACATGTATCTTTATCATTGATTATCATTCAGGATAGGCTACAGATGGGTCATGCGATTTCTTGCTCTTGGTTGTTATGCATTGCTACTCATGCCTGGTTTTATTCAAGGTCTGTGACACTAAGTTAATCCATTACAATTAAATTAATGCCTGTCTAAGTTTCAGTTGCTTTTTTCATGTGTGAAATTTTTTCTCGTAGAAAATTGTATATATATTCTTCTTGAATGGTGCAGCCTAAAGTAACAAGCATGTTTCTCTTTTGCAGTAGGATATTACTACTTTTTCTCCCATCAAGTCCGCAGAAGTATAATTTATGGTGATCAACGAAGAAATAGGTGAATTTTGTAGTCTCAATCCATTCTTATGAACATGGTTGCGACAAATATGCATGTCTAATCATATTGAACTTCTTGTGTATGAATGAGTGAACTTATGTTTGCAGGCTAGATCTGTATTTACCCAAGAATCTTGATGAGCCAAAGCCAGTAGTTGCATTTGTAACTGGTGGAGCCTGGATTATTGGGTGAGTAATCCATTATATATTGGTATTTGATTTTGAAAAGTAGCAGAAATTATTTTTGAGACTACTTTGTGTATGAATAGCTGATATTACCTTAAAGTTCGGCAGATCATTTAAAGCTGAAATTAGTCCACACGAGCAGAAGAAAAAAAATTTATAGTAGATTATTTTTCCCTTTTATTGAATTGTTATTACCTTTATTCTTGTCATTTATGTCTTCTAAATTTCTAATATATCCTTGATTCCTCTGTGGGCTTCTTTTCCTGATGCAGTTATAAAGCGTGGGGTTCACTTTTAGGACAACAATTATCAGAGAGGGACATTATAGTGGCATGCATAGATTACAGGTGAAATATTTTACCTGGAGCAGTGACATAGTTTTGCGCGGAACTGAATCAAAATATTAAGTGCTAGTCTGCAAGAACCTCTTGGTGTATATACTCTACTTTGATTTCCTGTCAAATGAAATTTGACCTGTCTAAAATCTCATCTTACCACTTGACTTGTATAATATCTATAATTAATTGTGGTTTGTGACATGGAATGTGACTGATTGATGCGATTTTCATGTGATTTTCAAACACTCCGGATGGGCTGCATTTTCCTCCTCATGGACATGAAGTGGATTCTACTCTTTATCTTTTAATGCAATTATGGTCTCTATATTATCTTCATCAATATATGGACGAGTTACATTTGTGCTTTTGATGACTGGTTTTAGACTGCAACAGTATTTGTCAACTGTTTATAAGTTCCCATAGGTGTAAATTTTTTTAATGTTGCTATCTGATTCTCTGACATCATAGGTGGCATCAAAACCTGTTTAATTACATCGTTAGGAGTCCTTATAGTGATTAGCTTTTCTTTGAATGTTATGCTTCAAACATGTGGCCTACCAGCTTTTCAATTTTTATGCAGAAACTTTCCTCAGGGCACCATAAATGACATGGTGAGGGATGCTTCTCAGGGTATCTCATTTGTATGCAGAAATGCAGCTGAATACGGAGGAGATCCTAACAGGTATTAGGTATTACTTTTTCCAATTAAATTTTTTGCTTTACATGTTTTGGTGAGATAATATTCCGTTTATGCCTGTTTTGCACAGGATTTATCTTATGGGACAATCAGCTGGTGCACATATTGCTGCTTGTACACTTGTGGAGCAGGCAATCAAGGAGGCTGGTGAAGGAGAGAACATTTCTTGGAGCGTCTCTCAGATACAGGCTTATTTTGGTTTGTCTGGAGGGTAAATGTCTTAAAAGCTCTACCTTGGATACCTAACAACTTGATCTGTGCTGCACGTGAGCTTGTGACTCAGCATGAAGAACTAAATTTGCCCTCTATTGATGGTCTTCACTTTGGCCCTTTGGGTCTCAAGGTTTTAAAACATGTCAATAGGGATTAACGGGTGTTAAACTATATTGTCAATGTGGGACTTGCCTAAGGGTGTCACAGAATCCCCCTTCCCCAATACATATTAAAATAAAAAATCTTGCTGATCTGTGCCTTATTTTCTGTAATTTCAAGCTGTTCCCCTTCATTTAAAATTTATACTGAAGATTAAGGTTAATGAACCCAAATTCTAGGAGGTAATTAAGCGATAAATTGATAATTTTTTGTTTTAGAAAATACCCCAGGGATCCAGATAGCATAGAAAATTTCAAAATCACTGTTATTTTTTTATTGTTTGATTATTCTGTGAATCTCCAGCTCATTTATATATTAGCATCCACAAACAGGTACAATCTTCTCAACCTTGTAGATCACTTCAATGACCGGGGTTTGTACCGTAAAATTTTTTTGAGGTATGTACTCCCTTTTCACTTAATAGTTATATACATGAAACTCTATTTAGTTACTAATTCCTGTCATTTCTCTTTGTTTTATTTATGAGCCTTCCTTTTCATATACAGCATAATGGAAGGGGAAGAATCCCTGCAACGATTTTCTCCTGAAGTAATGGTACAGGATCCAAACATTAAAAATGCTGTTTCTCTCCTTCCTCCTATTTTTCTTTTCCATGGAACTGCAGATTATTCCATTCCATCAGATGCCAGGTTTGAATCTCCTATTTGATGATGGGACATGCATGTTTAATTTAGAGCCGCTAAATGGTGAAGCTATAGTTGTCATTTACTTCAACTGGAACCATCCTACGTCTGAGAAATATCAGTTTCTCATATAATTAACGATGTCATGTTCAATTGCTTATGTTATGGCGCAGCTTGTTTAGACCAGAGTTCATCCTGATGTTGGATCATGGGTTATAATTGTTTAACATGTTTTGCATGCAGTAAATGTTTTGCAGAGACTCTTAGAAGGCTTGGAGTGAAATCAGAAGTGATGTTATACGAAGGAAGGACTCACACAGATTTGTTTCTACAGGTAATTAATGAACCACACAGAACAAATTCTATATTTCTCTCTCAAGACAGTTTTTACCGCAAAGCAATGCCCAATATGTTGTTTGCTTGGAAAACACGTTATTATTACTTAGGATCCCATGAGAGGTGGCAGAGACGAGATGTTTGAAGACATAGTTGCCATCATACATGCTGGTGATGATATTGAGCGAGCCAAAGATGCTATGGCTCCTAGAAGAAGACGCCTTGTTCCTGAATTCATGTTGAAGCTGGCTAGCGCTATCAGTCCTTTTTAGGCTTTATATGTATATATAGCCGTCCAACTATCGACCTATATCTTTATTTCCTTGTTTATTTATTTATTTTTTTTTTATGAAAAATGGAAATTGTATTAAAATATATATAAACAAAATGGAGATTACAAACAAAATTCTATATAGGGGAGTGTATAGTGAAAGCAGAAATATATCCTACAAGACTTAAACTATATAGTTGTTAAATAAGAAGAAGTGTATTCTATATTGAGATTACATACGTGGTTCTATATGGAGGCGTATATGCTTATAATCATGATTGTCAAAATTACAATTTTATTCATAAAATTGTATGATTTTATGATTCTAAGTA